ATTGTACAACATCTACCTATTCTACCTATCAATATAGTTAGATACATCACACAAACCATAGGCTTCATTACATATTTCCCGGCATGGTTTGCCTTCAAAACCCTATGAGTATGTACATAATTCAACTGCATGTATATACTTATATACTATAAGGAATAAACCTACAATCCTCACACAGACTCAACTACATGTGATGGACAGATTACGGAAACAGTACACAGTACAAATCAAGGATTAAGTTTACAATTTCTCAATGCATGGTCTACTTTCCAGGCCCTGATAAGATAAATTTAGAAAACTATTTATTCATACCAGATACAGAAAAATTACAAAACACAAAATCATAAGTCTTGTTACCAATTCTAAATTTGTAATATCGCAGTATGGTCAAATCCGACCCTGTGATAAATTCATGTGCATCATCAATTTACATCTATCAATTACCAAGTAATAACTTTACATACAGTACATGCTAACTTCAATTACGATATTTCTACAATGGATTTACATAATAAGACAAAAAACCACGCGCGCATAATATGCGTGCATCTTTTATACAAAAAATTTTGCGGCATGGTCTACTTTCAAGACCCCGTTTAATATAAAAGAAATCCATTAGATAAATAACGATTACAAGCAAACAGGTCCAAGACGCATGTAGAGGTCCTATTACCTATTCCAAAATTAAAATATTGCGAGGGCCAAACAAATGAAAAAGCACAATTAACACAACTATATGTACTGAATCTTCCATATGATACCATCCGCTAACATACTTCACAAGCAAGGTCAACCCAAGACTCTGTGAGGTTTGCTATAGCCCCAATACACAGTCACGTCATTATTCAATGCCATACTGCAGAGTTGGACACTTCTCAACGAGATCTCGTGTGCGCAAAGTCAGCAAGTCCAAGTGCGGGTGCGCAAATATATCGTGAGGTGCGCACCTGAGGTCCTGCGTGCGCGCTCAGGTGCGCTTTCAGTACTCGGTTGAGTCTCTCATGTGTTACAAAGTATTTTTTGCCAAACTGACTTATGAAATTATTCGATATATATTCATTGGCAACGTTGCGAAATAAAAAAGTGGGTACAAAATACGAAAATGAAAAATGCCCACTAATTATCCCTGTTAATCTCCTAACTGCACGACACGTCCCCTACTATCAGTCTCTTACTAACCTACTGTAATCGGCAATGTTCCTAAACGTTTCCGGGCATCCACATTGTCGAACACGTGCAGGCTTTCAACTTTGTAGCTTAAAAAATGTAAAAGATTCTCACGAAAGACCGAGATTACCATCGGCGAGATGTCAGATTCACAAGATGACGTTTTTGATAATATCGTAGAGGAGGAAGGTATTGCATATTTTTAATATATTCATTTATTCACATTATAATATTCATGAATGATAAATATAGACAGGACTCGAGGAGTTTCCTGACGAGTTGCCTGACGCGTTGAACGAGGACGCAATTCTAGTCTATTTAGTCTACATTTGAGTAATTTATTTGAATTGTCTGTTGTGATGTGCTTGATGACATAATAATTCATGCTTTGTAGCATACGCACATGACGACCGGTGCCGTGTTTGTGGCGGAGAAGTTGGAGATGCACATCAATGCAGAATATGTAAACAGAATGTGCATCTAATCTGCGGTGTGCCAGACAAGGATAGCGAGGAAGGATATGGCCAGAAACTTACCTGCTCATGCTGTTTAAATTCTAAAGGTATTACTCTGATACAATCGTTCAGAAATGAAGTCAAAGATAAAACAGTTTTAATATTTTAAAATTATATTTTATAATTCCACAAATAACTAATAACTTAATAATGCAATGTTACCTATTCTGGCTATCTGGCAGACTGCTATGAATTATATTATGCTATGAAATATAGCCATATATATGAAATATATGGCTATAGCCTATATATAAGAGTACAAACTGAAAAATACAGACCCTAACGGCCTAACCTTGAACTGCAGGCTGCAACAGTGCAACTGCAACCCGCAACCCTAAGTTACATTATGGCTATAAGTCTGATCCTAGCAGCTAAAGGTCTCCGTACACGTATGTTATATTTAACAAATATAAAACATTTTCCGTGTTGATATACAGTTATATCAACACGAGTGGAATTGGGAAAACGAGAAATTGTATGGAAACACGACGCCCGAAGGGCGGAGTGTTTTCATACAATTTCGAGTTTTCCCAACTTCCACGAGTGTTGATATAACTATATATCAATACGGAAAAATGTTTTATATTTTTTTTATAATATAGAAATGTCAAAAGCCCGAAGGATGAGAAAAATTTCCATGTTTACGAGCGGCGGAAAATTTCCCGTGTTGACATTGAGTTATATCAACACGGCTCTTAGCCAATCAGCGTTCAGAATTTACAAATGCTATATTATAATATTAGTTGACACCATGCTACTATGCAAACACTTTTGCTATTTTAAATGTTCACTAATCAGTAAATTTATGATTTTTTATTTTCACAGGTGATGAACTACCAACTCCTGTTACCAATGTGAATAAGAGGCCAGATCCCTGGTCAGCATTCAAAAGAGGGCCTACTGGTATGGGAAAGGACGTAAAAAAATTTAAAGCAGCCACTCCTCCTAGTACCACCGCTAAAGACAAGGCAGACCCACATATTTGTCTGAAGTGTGGAAGTGAAATTTCTAGGGGAAGAGAATTTAACAAGAAACGGCATTAGTCACAAAAGCACAACAGTGAACCAGAACATGGTTATAAGCAGCATATAATGCCTAAAAACCACGAACTGGCACAAAATCGTTTGAGAGAAATGGCAGATGGCAGTGCACAGTTGAATGAAATAACATGTAAAAAAGGACAGCAAACAGACAAGATTGAGGACACTGCTTTTCCTTTACCTAGACCTAAACCTGACCTGCAAGTCAATACAAACCCAAAACCTATACAGAAATCATTGGCAAATTTTGTGATTAGTGAGGATGAAGTGCCAGGGACACCCATTGAAAAGATGCAAGGTGACATAAATCGTATACTGGTAATGCTGCAATCTCTTACCATTCCTGAAAAGAAAAATGACCTGAAGGAGAACATGGAGTTAATTCTGATGTTAGAGCAATTATCACAGCTGCAAACCTATTGGAGGTTGAACACCCTGGCATCTGTGTTGAAATTCTTGACGATGGTTGTAAAGTTACATGCTACCCATGTCAACAATTTTATTTGTCTCGTCCAAAGAAGATGTAAGTATCTTCTGATCAGTTAACAACTGACTGTACAGTTTACTAAGTTTATTAAACTTAAAAACCACAGTAAGTACCATTTTATTCATACGTATACTATTATTGCTCCTAGCCTTCTGTTCTTTGGTGCCTACAGTAGACAAGAGTGGCTACCAACACTGTGTGGTAATGTTTTTGCATGTCCATAACCTTACAAGAGTTTTCTTTTGTTTCAATAATTAAGGCAAATAACACTAGGTTCATGGGCTGGAGGGTTGGTTTATGAAAAGGAGAAAACAGAAGCCTTGATGACTGGAGGGAATCAGCAGTGGTATAGCTTGAAAAAGATGATAATAGAGCATGTGGGGTGCAGTTCAATCCGTAGCAGTGGTCAAGAGCATTACAAACCAAGCAGTATATATTAACTGAGAATAATAAGAAGAAAAGGATCATGGACATCAACACCAATCTTGTAAGTGCTGCTATTCAAGTGTGCAAAATGAAATCTGCTGGAATGGCATATGAAACGATGGTAGGTTTCTTGTCATCCTGTGGTGCAGATGTGGGAAATATTGGGCATGGACGGTAAGATTTAAAACATTGTTTTTAATTTTGCAAAAGTTTAATGAGTAATATAACTTTAGTTTCTGGAATCTGGATCAGACAGACAATCTATTTATTTATTAATTCATCTAAAAACAGATGATGTTTTTATGTAGCTTTATGCCTCCACCTAATTTGCAGGAACCAGTTTCCAGAGATTATCTTGGCTGCTTATCATTATGCTTTAACTCAAACGAATAATTATCTGAAAGAGCCATTGGAATCAACTGGTCTTCGTCCACACATATCTCTGGCAGTCGATAAGTCTACTCCCCACAGAGATACCAACCATGCAGTTATGATCCTGTTACCTTTCAAAGGAAAGCAAGCTGCAGTGCCCATAGATGCTCCAATAGTATATTCAGTCGCAGAAAGAACAGCTGACATTGAGGGGGGAGATGGTGAAGACCTAGCCAAACAAGTGACAGATGTCCTGAAGAAGAAGCTGGATTTTGATGAAAACGACATGCATTATGTGAGAGGTACAGTATGCCACCTGTAGTAAATAAACATACAGTAAGCCTTAGTGGTAATGAATTGGGTGTCTGTGAAAAGTAGTCTTGAATACACATCATACTGTAGAAAAAAATGTTTGAACCTGAAACGTTTTTTTGTGAGTGTTTGCCTTCAAAATTTGTCACTTCAATTCAATTTTTTTCACTTTTCTGTATGTACTGTAGCTGTTCATGCTGACGGGCAGTACCAGTCGAGTACGTTCCAAAATGGACTTCTTTTTCCTAACTCCATGGGACGTATCTCACTGGATGGATCTAGCGATGGTCGATTTACGTGAAAAGGATATCTCGTCCTCTTTTATGAAGCGCCTAATAAAGAGAGCTAACAAGTTCCACACAATGTTTCATCGTGGTCGTGGTCATGTGGAATACAAAGGACTGGCATGATCTTTGGGTTTAAAAGCACTCGAGACTGTCACATTTTCGACAACCCGTTTTTTTAGTTCCTCCTATGAGCAGTGGGAGAAGATTTACATCAGTTTCGTAGCCTTAATGAAAAGTTTTATGGCATATCGAGAGGACAAAGATGACGAAGAAGAAGAAGAAACAAAGTACCAGGTTACAAAATGCATTTATTAAATTTAGATAGATTATAATATAAAAACACGCGATGGTTTAAAATTGTGAAACGCGATATATAATTAATAAGCCATTAGAGCAATACTTGAATACGTGTATGCATTTTGAAGATGTAAAATTTATGTATATTCTTGCAATCTCGTTTTAGGTACGTGGGCAAGACTTCGTTATCGACTTGTGTGGAATGCTTGATATCCTGAAGCATGTGGTTTCTTTGATGATACGAAGCCAAGCCATCAATGTAGCACCTTGGAAAATTATTGCATGGTACACTCGACTAAATGACGTTTTAGAGAAATGTGAAGACAATTTGAAGGACGTCGAGGCAGGAGATATGCTATCGAAAGATTTATTTCCGAAGCTATCAAAGCATTGGAAGGAGCTGGTTCCCAACAAGGATGCCGAAGAAAATGGCGATGACGAGGACGATGAAGTAGACCCGGGTACTTTCCAGGTACTATTACTACACTATCCTTATTACAAAATATAAATAAGTAATGACTAATGATTACTGTATATTGGAGGGATTCTACAGTGTAGTGGCGATTGTGGAGGGATTCTACAGTGTAGTGGCTGCGCACAAGAAAAACGGAGACCAAGGAAACACCACCTTAGTACAGAGAGCTGGCCCTAAAACAATGAGAAAAATAGCTTCTCTCTATACTGATGGGGACAAAAGCCATGGTCTATCAAAACACCGCTTGCCTTTATTCGTTGATGCTCGGGAACGAGCAGCAAGAAGGCATAGCACAAGTAAAGTCGTCGACCGACTAAGAAGGGAGAGTGTCAGATGTCCCCATGTAGTTGTTCAGGATGAAATATGAAGTTATGAACCGTGATGCACAAACGTAATTTCTTTACTAGAGTATAAACTTAACTGCATGTGAACCATTTTTAGAGTATCTTACACAGCTCGTATATATAAAATAGAAGTAGACTGTATAAAAGTAGCTGCTACTCTCTACAGCTTGGCCTACCTTTGCACACTATATACTTCATAGTGCATCGTTGTAAAATGTATAAATTAACTGTTTTTGTGCAAGGGTAATAACTGTACTTTAATCCGTGACGTCACAACAAGAAACTCAGGTGCGTGTTAAGGTTCGGGAAATATTGCGCAATATATTTTGGTGCGCTAACAAAGATGATTTCGATAATCTCGGGTGCGCTGCTGCCCAACTCTGCAGTCTGGGATGTAAGCATACCATTTAACCAAGCATTTGAGTATTATGCCCGCTGGCATCAAATAACATTTTTGTATGACTCAGATGCCTACCACGGAACAAAAGTGTCCGAATATATAAATATGTAAATGTAACCACTCACTTGTTCTTTTTCGATTACTGTACCATCTTCAGGACATCTTGGGTTTGAACCGCTGAATAATAAGAATAGTTTTCATCAGTATGGCACTGTTCAATATTCGATCTTAAGGATCAAGTTATCAAACCTCGTTTGATAGTGAAGCATCATGCCGGGCGTGCGGCGTCTGCACAGTGGAAGGGGCACCAGACTGGCCGGTTCAACAGTAATAAACGGAAAATTAACATACTCTAGCAATGTTTGCAGGCAAGAAAAACACATCAAGTGTCCACATTGAGTTTGCATGGGCATGCACAACAACATGTCACAACTGGTGCAGATGAATTTCTTATCGATTTTCTTACGATCTTCATCCGCGATTCTTGTTCCCGGCATGATGGAAAAAGAGCTTCAACTACAAAAAGAAAAACAAGACTTTTTACTTTTTAGAATGCGTCTTGAACGTGTCTCGTTATTCTTCACCACAAGTCACAACTGACAAAGTAAATATATGATAACAACATACAGTAACGAACGTGAACTTTGGAAGTCGATTATCGCAAATTAAGAACAGTCCTTAGCTATTGATAAACTGTCTCAAGTGCAGTATTAATAATTGCGTCTGGAATTTTAAACTCGTATATCAAATTTTTTCTTGATTTTTCCGTGTGTTGGTGTTGTTTACTAATTACTCAGGTGAATATGATGCTTGTGATGGGCTAGTATTCCAAAGGTTGTAGGTTCGATTCCCACCGTGGCCAGGCATATTTTTCAAGCTCGCCCGGTGTGGATATACACTCAGAGTAACATCACAAGCATAGTATATCAAAGTATCAATAATTCTAAGTAAAGTCTAAATTATTGCATACAGCAAGGCTTATTAAAAGCTCATAATTCATATTGCTAGTATTTAAATGGTAAATTGACGCGGAATACGAGCGGAATATAAAGCAATAAACTTCGTTTTGTAAAGCTATATCTATACATCAACAATGTCAAATATTCAAATCATTCGTATTATCAGTTGCAAAGACATAGCAAGCAAGGGATATTTTACATATACAGACCATAGATATCGATATCTATGATACAGACAGTTGATTGAAGGCTATGAATATTTAAAGAAATTAATAAACTTTCTCATACACGTCATCATACAATCGTTATAGGCTATGTTTTTACTCTCTAAGTATGGTGGTTAGAGGACACTCGGAGATAATGATGTCTATAGCGCAAGAAAGCTCGGCCTGTATTGACCATTTTTCATCAGCTCTAAAATATTGCTATAGCTTTTGCTTAAATTTTCCATGCACAAAAACAGAAAAACTCTTCAACAAATCAGGTGTTGCTTTGTCCATTTACTATATTGATATCAGCCTGGCTAGTCACCTATTTTTAGCACAACGTAGCCTGCGCCGCATACTTCACAACACATGTTTTAAACATGTGTTTTGAAGTATGCCGGCGCAGACTAGTACAAGGTGGTCATACTCTTTAGGTCTAACCACCATATGACCCACATCTTCATACATTATTTAGGTTCACATTCATACAAGTAAATTGCTTTTAAATTTTCATTGCATATAAGATATTTTGGCAGTTCGCGACACTGCAAGAACACGAAACCACAGGCCACGACATGATCATATTTCAAACTACACTTTTTTTATTAGTTTTTTTTCTATCAAACAACTATAGGAACTGTTGTTGCATAAAACTATTGTTGTGACACCAGTATGGTTCTGATTGCCTATTCCTAAACTTAAAAACGTCACTGAAGCCATTGTCATTGCTATTAAAATCACAAACGTTGTTTTATACTAAGACAGGCTCATTCAGTCCTCCCCAGGGCCATTTTTACTCGATCACTCGCTCGCGTGAGGCCAAGAGGCCCTGGTAACGAGGATGTTTCAGATACAGAGCAACAGCAATCTCGTTTCCCGAGCCTGCGATCCTCGGGAAGGAACGTGAGCCTCTGGGATAATCCGTTGCCGGAAGCCAGGAATCCTGGCTAAGACCAGACTGCGCATTCCATATCAACGTCCAATCAGATTCCTCCCTGAAACAGATTATCCCAGAGCCTCACGTTCCTTCCCGAGGATCGCAGGCTCGGGGAACGAGATTGAAAGCAACAGGTGAAGGTAGAGCCTCCAAAAAGCACCTAGTCCCCAGGCCTTCACCGGCGAGACCGCGAAATTCAATATGGCGCCAAGCTAAGGAGTGCAGTATATATTCTATATTTTTTACTTTTTTCTTCTTTTCGGTTGGTAGAACTCTATTCGGGCTTTATTTTATCGTGCAGTTATACACAAAATGTGCAATTCTAACCCATTTGTGCAGTTCTTAAAACACAAATGTGCAGTAACCAAATTAGCAAAAAAAATAACCTTATTTAAAACAGTATTCTCATTTACTCGTTTTCCTTGTGGATTCTCCAGAAAATGCCAGAAATGCCGTCATTGAGTATCAAGAAAACAATTTTCCGGCCATATCATATTTCATGCCTAATATAATACATTTATTTGCCCAAATTTCGAACAATGAACGTTTAAATTTTTACTGACAAATAAACATCGAAATTTCCTACAAATTTCTTTCACTGGATTTACTCACATGAATTTACAGGGTATGGTAGATATAATTACAAAATAATAGTTTAATATTACAAAAACGGTTACATTGTTTGAAAGAACAAACGAATAGAAAGAAAGGAAAACAACTTATCGGTAGCTAGTTACTGATAAGTCATGTTTTCCTTTCTTTCTATTCATTTGTTCTTTCAAACTATATGTGACCGTTATTGTAATATTAAACCATTATTTTGTGAATATATATACCATACCCTGTAAATTCATTTAGATTGCTTTGAAGATGTTATTGTAAACAATGTTGTTTAAAAGTTATTTGCTAGTCTTTATCTTTAAACTAAGATTTCCGCCTGGTGTATCAATTGCCACAGTTTTACTCACATGACGCAGAATAGTATTTACAACATAACCAATCTCGTTCCCAGAGTATGCCTGTTCGCGGCCGCGAACAGGCATACTCTGGGAACGAGATTGCAACATAACTAGCTTGTCAAAAAAGGCATACGTAAATGTGTCCAGGAAACAAAGAAGACATTCGCTTGTACAAAAAGGCACTTTTCAACACAAAAAAGGACACTTTTGGTCCTTTGAAAAAAATTCGAGGCCATGTGTCCCCCCCTAGAAATAATAAATATTATCTATTATTCTTGTGCTCTCCCGGTTCCTACGCCTCTGGCAAGAAGTTAAAAGCCTCTAGTTTCAAAATATTATGGGGAACACCCCCTAACTATCTCACGGAAAACGAGTTTGTCTGGCCTTTCTCCCACCCAAACACACCTTTATTATGCCACCTATACAGTATACAAATTAAGAGTCTATCATAATTTACAACCTTTAACGTTAAATATCCGATCCAGGTAAAAAAAATCCTTTGAGTGTTTGACCCCCTCCCCCCAAAAAAATCAAATACGTGATACTCCTTAACATCGAAAGTTATAATAGTTTGGCTACTGTAAATTTAGGTGCATTTTACGTGATCCTAACTGTATGTCACAGTAGGTCTCTTCACATATAAAGGTGAGATGACAAACTACAAACTTAATTAGGAACATTTTGAGTAGTCTTTGTTTACCGCAACCGCGTACTAATAATATGAAAAAAAAGGTTTATGTATGACGGAGCATGCACACCTTTGGAATTCTATTCCAAAGAAATTAGAGAGAGCAAACCCTTTCTTTCTTTCGAAAGAAAATCGCTACTCACATTGATTGATATAGGTAATGTAAATATAGATCTAACTGTAATAGATTATTATACTAATTAATTAATACGTTATATATAATACTATTTATCTTATATATAATTTTGTAAATAGCTTTTAAAATGCTTTATATTAGATCCTGGGTACGAGGTTGTATATTTATATGTATACTTTTGTACACGCCACTCGTGGAAATCAGCTTCGATTGACGGGGTCAGCGTCTTTAAATAAAGTTTTCTATCTATCTACTATCTATCTATCTATCTATCTATCTATCTATCTATCTATCTATCTATCTCTCTATCTATCTATCTATCTATCTATCTATCTATCTATCTATCTATCTATCTATCTATCTATCTATCTATTTATCTATCTATCTATCTATCTATCTATCTATCTATCTATCTATCTATCTTAGTATTAAACAATATAGTGCGTATTGAACCAACGAATTTCATACTTTTAGACTTACTTGCACCTCTCGTCGAATTTGTGCGGGACTCTACTGTCGCAGAGCACGTCTCTACTTTATTAATGACCCCAGCGAACAAACGCTGAATAGACCAACAGAGCATTTTGTTTTATAGCTGGTATTGCGGTATAAGCGGAATATGTCGATTTATTTTCGAGAAAGGGTATGTTATTTGAAACTCCTACGTCATACATAAAACGTCCTAATTAAAGAATATACTAGCTAGTATATGCATGCCAAACCCTTGAGACAGGTCCT